CATACACACACACATACACACACACATACACACACACATACACACACACACATACACACACACAACACACACACTACACACACACACATACACACACCATACACACACACAAACACACACACACACATACCACACCACATACACACACACAACAAAACACACACATACCAACACCACATACCACACACATCATACACACACACAATACCACACACACATACCCCACACACACATACACACACACACATACACACACACACCCTACACACACACATACACACACACATAAAATAATTTAATTAAAATTTATAATAAATAAAAAATAAAAACTATAAAAAATTTTAAAGTAAAATAAAAATTTACACATTTACTACACAACTAACATAACATAACACACACTAACACACGACATACAAGCATATAACATAGTCTACAATATACATATATACATACATATATAGTATACTATATAATAATATATATATACATACAAATAATATCATATATTATATACTATACAATATATATAATATATATACTTATAATATATATGTATCACTATATATTATATATATTTAAATATAATGAACATATATTATCAATATATATATATATTATATATATAATATATATATATATAATATACATATAATTACATTATAATATACATACTACAAATACATACACACACAACATCAAATACCATATCACATATATATATACACATATATATAAACATACATACACATATGTAATATACATATATATATATACAATAATAATATACATACATATATCATTACACACAACATATATTATACATAATTACATACATATACATATATATCATACATACAATATATATTATCTCAAATATGTATTAATTAACCCACCGCCGACAAGCAATTCCGATCTTGGCTTAAATACAAAGCTCATCTTGCCATAGGACACGAAATTTGATGCATACTTCGCCAAAAATATTCTGAACCTACGAAAAAAATATATCAGTTTTTAGTATAAATATTGAAAACAATAAAATATATTTAGTGGTTAGGCTAAAAAAATTGTTCTTGTTATAATATAAGGTTAGTAATTTTCTAAGATTCTTTGGAGCAAAATTAAAAATTTTTACATTACATTAATGAAAAAAATAATCTTAAAAGTACAAAGAAATTTGAAAGAAAATTTAATTTTAAATGAGTTTCTTGCTAATTGACCAGTTTACATATTCGGCACACACACACACACACACACACACACACACACACACACACACACACACCACACACACACACACACACACACACATATATATATATATATATAATATATATAATATATAAATATATATATATATATATATTAGCCAGTAGACATCAGTTTCAAATGTTTAACTTAATAGGTTTTATAAATTTTAAATTCAATTTGCTGTCCTGGTATACAATTCTTGGCATATTTAAAACTGGTTTTATGGAGTATTTTGTACTCTTAACCAGTGTTGAGAAGGTGGGTGAGACAGTGTATTGTCGACAAGTATGAGAGCGACAACACAGGTTGCAGAACACTTTTATTGAAGGAGGGGGGGGGGACAAAGTTTCATTGTGTGGGAAGCCGTGGCTTCATGAAGCTCTCTACAGGGCGAAATGTCCTGGGACTCGTTTTTCCTGGATCTTTTGTTTCTATTTTGGAAGTTTGCGTTTCGAGTGAGACTAAATGTTTTAGGGTGGTGAGAGATGTTTGGGTAGACTATCACCTAAAGTGATAGCTGCATCTATCAGCATAGGTGATAGCTGCATCTGTCAGTATAGGTGATACCTATGTCTATCAGCATTGATGATACATTAATCAGCATTGGTGATAGCTGCCATCTATCAGCATAGGTGATAGCTGTATCTATCATAGGCGATAGCTGCGTCTGTTACCTATGCTGATAGACTGAGAGTGTTCGACTGTCTTTGTTAAGCATTCACACGCATGCACCTCCTATTCTACCCTTCCTTTCCACCTTTCTCACCGTCTTATTGCGCCTCCTCTCTCCTCCTTTCACTTCACCACCTCCCTTCCTTATCTATCTCAACACAACTCACCACACCAATAAACCGAACGTCAAGTTTAGGTTGAATTACACAGTTGATTTATACCAGACAGAATATGGCGAGTTAGCAGAATTATAAAATTAATCTTTGTCCAGATTCAGAGCTATTATATACATTTATGCAATACATTTATACAGGCAATACACACGTGACTTATAGGCACCTATTGATACTAAATCATTTAGGTTTATCCTTGGATGACCCAAAGATTTCAGTGACTTTATCACCATTGGATGTTCTTAACATACTCCTACTGCTGTAGCTACTGAAGTATGAGTGTAGGACGGTAGTCTGTCTGTCGTGCACTTACATGTGTGTTCGCTATCATGTATTTATGTGTGTCCACAATCATGCACTTACATGTGTGTCTATTATCATGCACTTTGATTACAAGGCACAGCAGCTGGAGACGCCAGCCGTGGTCGATACTGTCAGTTCCAGCGCATGGTCGTCGCTGGTTGGGGGGTGGGGCAGAGAGCAGGGTTGTGGGAGGAGGGGAGGAGTTTGCGGAAGAAGAAGAAGAAGAAGAGGGGAAGAAATGGATTAATTGACTTGGGGTAGTGGATGAGATGTTAATTTGAGAGGGGTGAGATAAGGACGGTTGAAGGACTGCCTATGATCTGCCCTTATCACCATTAATGCCTTTATTACTGCTTCCTTTATCACGACTACTGTTTCTCTTCACTCTTCACTACTGCCTTCAACACTACTGCCTTCACCACTACTGTCTTTACCACTACTGTCTTTACCACTACTGTCTTATCACCACTACTGCTTGTCTTCACCACCACTGCCATCCCCACTGTCCTCACTACTGTCTTCATCACCACTATCTTCGCCGCCACTATCTTCACCACCACTATCTTCGCCACTGTTGCCTTTACCACTACTGTCTTTACCTTCTCCCCCCCCCCCCGCCAGCTCCACTTTCACCACCTCCATCACTATCACTAACCCCTCTAGAGACATATCTGATCTATAGATTTTCTTGTTAACAAATTATTGGAGGGAGGAGGGGTAATGAGAGTGGAGGGGTAATGAAAGTGGAGGGGTAATGAAAGTGGAGGGGTAATGAAAGTGGAGGGGTAATGAAAGTGGAGGAGTAATGAGAGTGGAAGTATTGCAAATGCCCTCAGTCATGACAGTGGTAATGCGTCTGCAGCAACCCACATTACAAAGTCAGAGAGATCACAAACTTTCCGTCTACCTGGAGGTCATCTTCAGGCGAATTGATATGACAGTAGAAGGAAGTTCTTGCATTTGCAAGTGAATGAGGCTCACGAGAGTTGTAGACGAGGAACAGAAGGGTGGCTCTGTGCCCACACGTGTTGAGGTTCTGTTCCTACAAGTGTTGAGGTTCTGTGCCCTCACGTGTGGGTATGAAGGACGTTCCGTCAACGGTTCGTATAAACTTAATTTGATACCAAATTAAACGGAATCACAAAAGTAGCCTAAAATAAATTTAGTATAAAACCGAATCAGAAGCTAACTTCAAATGATTCGGAAGTTGATACGAAGTCGAACTTCCATCACTAGTGAAGAAGACACAGGTGCAGAGCAAGCTTTTATTGTGACAACGTTTCGCTCTGTGAAAACTTAATAAGGCCCTACATGGAGCGAAACGTTGCTGCAAGCGTGCTCTGGTTGACCCGGCAAGTACCGGAAAAGCCTGGCCAATGGCCGGGCTCCGAGAATAGAAAAACTCGAAATTCATCAAAGGTAGAGGTGCACCTGTGATTTTTCTTTACGACTCACAAACAGAGGCTGAGACTGGCATCGTGGAATACTGGGTCAACCCACCGTCCCCAGTAGCCTCATAACCTTTATCCTTACCGCTGGATCTTGCTACTCGACCTTGGAAGTCAAATATTTACGTTGGCACTATGAGAGGCCGGTGAATACAGGGTCACATTAAAGCTGCAATCTGTAAAACAGACTCAAGAACCCCAGATCAATCTGGTTACATTACCATTGCAGCTTGTTCCATTACCTTCATCCATATCAAATGATGTTATCTTTTAATTTGTAAAGTGGTGGAGCGGGGAGCCAGCGGACGATTATATGAGCAAGAGTTCCAGTGGTGGTGGGTCGTGATATGGCTGAAACTCGCACCAGGAAGCATTTGTCATGTTTCCTGACAAATCTTGCTTACTTCAGATGGTTATTTTGCCTCTTCTTCTGTCATAGCTCTGTTGTATAAGACTGCACAGCGAGCCATCTCCTTCCCCGTTTCCGGTAGACATCTTTGTTTCGATTATAAATGCTTCTTAAAACGTTTTTTCTGGAGTTCGTCACACAGTTCCTTGTTATTATCGATGAGTTCTCCTCGGCCTCCATCATATTTGTATTCAGTCTACTTGAATATTTACTGTACAGTAGTTCGCAAAGTTTTCTATATACCGGGGGAGTGGAAGGAGGTCAAGGCTCTGTTCCTCCTAGCAATTTGGGCCCTCTCATATTTATTCTTAAAACCGTGTATGGTAACTTTTGCGTGCGCATGTGTGCAAGGTGTGAGCGCCTTCCAGTGTCCCATCTAGAAGGCGTTCGCAGCCTCCCAGTTGGGACACTCCAGAGGGTGTAAGCTTCACTTATTCCTCCATGTGGTCCTTTCAAGGGAAGAGGCACGTTGATGGTGAAGAGCTCATGATAAAAGGAATTGAAGCTACCTTCTTTTGGATCAACTCTGATTACCTCTCATTCTCCAGACGTTGTATAACTCCTACAAGGAAATTAAGGGAAGGGATAATGACACTGATAAAGAGCAAAGTTATACTGAGTATCGCCTGAGAGGCTGATGTTTCTCACGTCTCTGATGTTTCACACGTCTCTTAAAACTTATTTTGTTTTGCATGAAAGTTTCATACAGACTTTATTAATGTTCTTGGGAATTCCTTGCGATTTCAGGCACAGAGTGGCATAGTTATTTCAGGCACAGAGTGGCATAGTTATTTCAGGCACAGAGTGGCATAGTTATTTCAGGCACAGAGTGGCATAGTTATTTCAGGCACAGAGTGGCATAGTTATTAGAGGATAAAACACAGGAGAGTAAATCACCTTGTAAAATATAAGAAAATGTTAAGTGTGAAACGAGAGAAAGAGAGTGAAGACGCTGATAGTGAGGGAGACACCGACGACCCAGACGACAGATAGCGTCAACAGACGCCGCACCTTTCACCCACTTAACCTCCCCCCCCCCAAAAAAAAAAAAAAAAAAGACAGGTACTGGGAGAGAATACAAGTTGGGGCGAATTGGAAAAGGTGGGGGGTGGAACCCCCAGCACATCTTTTTTCAACATAACACTGAGTTGATGTGTTTGATATTCACGGTTTTGTTGAACAACGAGATACCGAAAATGAAACCAGGTGTGAGGAGTTGTACTTGATGTTTATGTGGAAGTTATATACTGTTTATGTGCAAGACTCGTACTCTGTCATTTTTAGTGTCGCTATGTGCTAAGAGTTCAGTGTAGTGGAGTAAACTGCCATAACACGAGTGATAGATTTTTGTCAAGCATATATTGGAAGAGGTAATTCCACACAACTAGTCGTGGCGCCCATAAGAGGTGGCTAAATACGGGCCGCGGGGGTTCTCGGGGTGGCCGCTGCCCCCGCCCCCTCTCATTGAGGGCGTCAACAGGCGAGCTCACAGGGAAGCTAAGAACTGGAACGCTCGTTTCCAGCAGCGCTGTGAAGAGCAACACTTAGAGTACCAGATCTATCATCAGGACCACGAGTCCTTTCCTCACACCGCTGGGCAGCAAGACCCGGGTTACAGCCGGGAGCTAAAGACCTTCCTCAGGACCAGCCCTCTCAGGAAGTGGAGCCAAGAGCTCCTTTGGGGTGAAAAGAGAGAAACACTTAATCACGTTGAGGAAGAAGAGCGTCTAGCAGGGCAGCTAGAAGTAGAGGAGTCTCTCGATTTTGCAGACCAGACCGTGCTAGGAGCCATTGGAGAGGAAAAGACACCCTCTCATGAGGTATTTGATGCCTCATACAACTCAGAAACAGGTGGAGACTACAACTCGACCACTGAGCTCGATGTACTGGATGTAGAAAGAGGAGCCACGGCGGGAGATAATGACAGCCCGGGACACACATGGGAGCACCCAAGGCTCAACAGAAATGCATCCCTCCAGCAGAGCATCTTCGTCTCGCAGGGCGCCTGCGAGGAGGTGCTTACCCTGGAGGTCGTGGAAGGGCAAGATGTTGAGGAGAAGACTGACTGGAAGAGGGACCACAGACAATACCTAGATGAGTCCTTCAACCTGAGCGAAGTTACCATAGAGGATGACGTCGATGTTGAGGGTAAGTGAGGCCCATTTTGGTGGAATTGTTTTGCTGTCATATATTTAACATGCTTTAACTGTCTGGGTCATTAGCACTTGATTCTTTAAATTTTCATCTTCAGAATTTCTCTTGCTACAAGTTCTAGTAAGTATGAGTATATAGCATTAATAGTTTTCGTAATTGTCTGCCTATAATAGCACTTCCCGCACTTTCCTATGTCTCACTGTTACATCCCGGGATTAGAAATCTAAAGACTCGGTCTTAATTGATCTTTCTCTACTAACTCAAACCTCTTCCATCCCTTTAGGTCCTATTATACTGTAATCTACAGAAGATATCATGATCCCTTACTGACTTAGCTAGTTAAGAAGCAGTGAAAAACAGAGGAAGGCTGAGGAATGGGATCGGAAGTAAAAATACGAATGTAATGGGAGATGTTAGTCTAATTGGGAACGGGGGAAAAGGAGGAAGGGTAAGAAGGACGGAGCTGAAGGGAAGATTTGAAGGGTGGGAAGGTGGAAGATTGATGGAATGACGGAAAGTACGTGGAAGGGTTATCGATCATTCAGAAATTCAGTCCTCTGGTCCACCTGACGCCTCAGTAGGTGGGGGGAATTGTATCCTGTACTTCACCTCAGTAGCTCTCAGCATCACCACAACACGTAATACAACACCTAGGAACTTCTCAGTGCTACCCAACACCAAGTACAGTAACTACAGACCTCTCAACACCTGAAAACACCTAATACCGCACCTAGGAACCTCAGCATCTAACATACTGGGACTCACTGGCAACTCTACAAAACAAAGGGATCTCCGCAGCCCTTCCCCAACACCCGATACACCCTATGCAACACCTAGGATCTCCTCAGCATCACCCAACACCTAGGAGGAAGCCCCCTCGCTGAGCAGCCCAGGCAACAGCTGTAACCAAGGCGAAGTGGGTCACTTAAAGTGGTGATGCCGGTGTGTGTGTGTATGTGTGAGCTTGTGCTGTCTCACAGCTGGGAGAAACAAGCTCCTGCAAACTCTCTCTCAGCCAAGCTGCCACTACTGGACTTACAAGTACAGCCACATGCACAGGTACAGCCACAAGCACGTGTACATCTACATGCACAGGTGCAGCCATATACGCAAGTACAGCCACATGCACAAATGCAGCCACAAGCACAGGTGCAGCCACATTCACAGGTGAAGCAATATCCACAGGTACACTGATTTAAAAGCAATGAGAATAATAAGAACAGAAGAGGGCAAGACTAGTCTCCATGGAGACCTAAACAACTACAGATGTGGTCAAGCAGAGAGGTTATAAAGTTCTAGCCAAATGAAAGGAATAAAGTGATTTGGCAGTGAGGACAGAGAAGACAAAGTACAACATAGGTGGAGAGTAGTAGTAGTAGTAGTTAGTACCAGTGAGTTAAAAGACCCCGGTGGTGAATATAGCATCTAGCTTATCGCCAGAATTACACATTAAGCAACACATGCAAGACTAGATAACCTCAGAACAGCATTCAGGAACTTGAACAAAAAATCCTTCAAAACTTTATATTCGCGAGCCCGGCATGGCGTCTGCCTAATCAAGCACGTGAAGCTCTAAAAGGTCCGAAGGTTTGCAACCACACTAGTACCGGACCTGAGAGAAATACACTCTAAGTAGAGGATAAAGGCACTGAACCTGATTATTTGGCAGAGAAACACAATTGGAGACATCGGACGTAATAAGTTTATGCAAAAATCTTGAAAGGAATTGATAGGGCAGTTATGGACAGACTATTTTTCCACAATAGTTCTTATTTTCGTAGCAGCATAAAAACCGAATTAAATGTTGTTTATTTTCTAATACACTTGTAATAAAGCACGAAACTACAACAAAAATCAGTAAAATTGATGACATTAAGCGTTTACGCTCTTGTGAAGCTGCATGAGTGGCCAGTCTCTGCTCTAGTAATTTGTGATTGACAGTGTGTGTTTGTAGAGGGTGTCTGATTGACAGTGTATGAAGTGCATCTGATTGACTTAGATGTGTGACTTAGTATGAAGGAGAATCTGATTGGCTTGAATCTTCACCCATTTCTGTTTGTCGTGGGACCCTTTCATTTGTAGTAGTAGATCTGGGGTTTGGTGCCTAGTGTAACAGAGAAGTTACAGGGTATTTAATACATTGTTAAGCGAGTCAGTCTGCCCTGATGCCGAAGTATTAGAAGATATCGTTCTTTTGAGAGAGAAGAACCACACGTGGGATGACCATATTGTTGGTATTAGGAGAGAGGAAAACTTGGAAATATGAAAGTTAGAAATTGAAGTTAGAAAGTAAAGCTGCCCATTCATCTAGATTCGCAATAAATAAAAATATATCAAAAAAGGAGTTTTGTGTTTGTGAAAGGATGGTATTTTAATGTTAACTATGTCATCCCCGGTCTCTTTTTGCACTTGGCAAGTTGAAAGTGTTGAGGTTCCGGAAGGCAGGCACGGAGAGCCTGCTGTATGCACCTGAGGTACACAAAAATATATTTCTCGAGTAGACAAGTTTCTACGGGAGGTATCTGATCAGCCTGACTGTGATAGCTGGATGGAGGCTTGCTCCTCCTACCAGGGACTGACTAACCCCTTGACCTCCCTGGCAGGAGCCGCGAGTGAGAGTCCGGTTATGGACAGCTGCGAGGGCAGTGTGGACCTTGTTTTTCGAGCCTGGCGTTGCAAATATGTGTGTACTGATCGATATTAGTAATATAGTCATAGTGTTGAGGTTTTATACATGTGCGTTTGTGTCACACTTGAAGGAACTATTGACAGGGATCTGTGATTTCTGTTTAGGTCCTTCGGCACGGTTCAGTCAGCTGTGACTGCTTCCTTCCCTCGAGTCATTTTACATTCCTTACGCTCGTTTTGTTTACTTGAATATTGTTGGATCTTGGAAGTTGTCAAGTCTAAAGATGATAATCTTTTGGCATTATCAGGTAAATGTGATAGTTGCATTTTTTGCATGTTATTTCGTTAGCCAGACATTTCAATACATATTGAAAATTTTTGGCTCGGATATAAGTTTGATAGACACAAGAAAACCCAACTCTGGCGTCTGCGCCGCTTTTTATCTTACATGATAACCCGACGCATTCATTAGCAGTTCAAGTGTCATTATGGAAGCTGTCTACCTTTTTTTTTACGAGCACTAGCATTTTTTGGCAGTTTGATTGGCACTCTATCCAGTGAGAGTTCGTCTAGGTGACTCGTTCTCTCTCTCTCTCTCTCTCTCTCTCTCTCTCTCTCTCTCTCTCTCTCTCTCTCTCTCTCTCTCGAATCGATGCTAACACAATAACACTGCAGAGGTGCTTGGATGTGCCTCCACATATATCCACACAATCTTATGCTCTCTCTCTCTCTCTCTCTCTCTCTCTCTCTCTCTCTCTCTCTCTCTCTCTCTCTCTCTCCTCTCTCTCTCTCTCTCTCTCTCTCTTTACCCTCTCTTCTTTCTTTTCCTCTTCTTTTTCCCGTTCTATCAGATAAAATTAGATAGTAAATTAACTCATAGCAGTTGACCTTGACACTGGCCGGAAAGTCTTCTGTTACCTCTCTCTCTCTCTCTCTCTCTCTCTCTCTCTCTCTCTCTCTCTCTCTCTCTCTCTCTCTCTCTCTCTCACCCTTCCACCCTTCCTGTCTAAAAGAGCCGAATACTCCGTCAAGGCTCCCAAGGTGGCATTAGAGAAGCCTTACTGTAGCAGTGCCACAAGGATGA